TGTTTCGAAGTTGGCTATTACAAACTGTGCTGCTATAAACATGGGTGCACATACTTCTCTGTGATATGATTCTTTTAGTTCTCTTGGAAGGATACCCAGCAGAGGGATGGCTGGGTCAAATGGAACCTCCAGTCCAAGCTCTCTGAGGTATCTCCATATTGATTTCCATAGTGGTTGCACTAGTCTGCACTCCCACCAACAATGGAGGAGGGTTCCTTTCTCCCCACAACCCCGCCAACATTTGTTATTGTGTGATTTCTTGATAGCAGCCATTCTTTGTGGGGTGAGGTGGAATCTCAGTGTTGTTTTCATCTGCATCTCTCGAATGACCAGTGATGTGGAACATTTTTTCATATATTTTCTTGCTGCTTTCACTTCTTTGTATGAGAAATGTCTGTTCATTTCGGATGCCCATTTTTGGATCGGGTCTTTATATTTGGGGGGACTGATTGTTTTGAGTTCTTTATATATCCTTGATAATAGTCCTTTGTCTGAGGTACAGCTGGTAAAAATTTTTTCCCACATTGTAGATTGTCTCTTAGTTCTGCTAATGGTTTCTTTTGAAGTACAGAAGCTTTTTAGTAAGATGAGATCCCAGTTGTTGATTCTTTCTGCTAGTTCCCGTGCTACTGAGGATTTGTTCATAAAGTCTTTTCCTATACCAATGTCTTCCAGAGTTCTGCCTAACTTACTTTCCAGCAAGTTTAATGTTTCTGTTTTAATATTTAGATCTTTAATCCATTTGGATTTTAATTTAGTGCATGGCGAAAGATAAGGGTCTAATTTTAATCTGTGACAGGTTGATATCCAGTTTTTCCAACACCATTTATTAAAGAGGCTATCTTTCCTCCACTGAGGATGGTGAGCTCCTTTGTCGAAGATGAGGTAGCTGAGTACATCTGCATTTGTTTTTGTGTCTTCCAGTCTGTTCCATTGATCCTCAGGCCTATTTCTTTGCCAGTACCATGCTGATTTTATCACAGTGGCTTTGTAGTATAGTTTCAAATTGGGAATTGTTACACCTGGTGCCATGTGACTGTTGCCTATAATGGCTTTTGCTATTCTAGGTCTCTTGTGGTTCCAAATGAATTTTTGGATTCTTTTTTCTAGTTCTGTGAAATATAGTGTTGGAATTTCAATTGGCATTGCATTGAATGTATATAGCAGTTTCGGTAGTATGGCCATTTTCACTATGTTGATTCTTCCTACCCAGGAGCAGGGGATATCTTTCCATTTTTTTATATCCTCTTCGATTTCTTTTTTCAGAGTGCTGTAGTTTTCAGTGTAGAGATCTTTTGTTTCTTTTGTTAGATTGATTCCTAGATACTTCATTTTTTTGGATGCTATTGTAAAAGGAATTTTTTCCCTTATTTCTCTTTCTGTCTGTCTGTTATTTGTGTATAGAAAGGCTATTGATTTTTGGGTATTCACCTTGTATCCAGATACTTTACTGAATCTGTCAATTAAGTCTAGAAGTTTTTTGGTGGAGTTTTTTGGATCTTCAATGTAGAGTATCATATCATCAGCAAATAATGATAGTTTAACTTCTTCCTTTCCTATCTTTATTGCTTTAATTTCTTTCTCTTGTCTAATTGCTGTGGCTAATGTTTCCAGAACTATATTGAAGAGAAGTGGCGATAGTGGGCATCCTTGTCTTGTTCCTGATTTTAACATGAAGGTTTTCAGTTTTTGGCCATTCAATATGATGTTGGCTGATGGTTTTTCATAAATAGCCTTTATTAAATTGAGGTATAGACCATCTATTCCAATTTTTTGCAGGGTTTTTATCATGAATGGGTGTTGAATTTTATCAAATGCTTTTTCTGCATCTATTGAGAGGATCATATGGTTTTTGTCCTTGACTTTGTTAATATAATGTATTACATTCACTGACTTTCGTATGTTGAACCACCCTTGCATCTCTGGAATAAATCCGACTTGGTCATGATGGATGATCTTCTTAATAATCCTCTGTATTCTGTTTGCTAGTATCTTATTAAGGATTTTTGCATCTATATTCATTAAGGAGATTGGTCTGTAGTTCTCCTTTTTGGTTGTATCTTTCTCTGGTTTGGGAATCAGAGTGATACTTGCTTCCAGGAATGAATTTGGAAGTATAGCTTCTCTTTCAATTTCATTGAAAAGTTTGAAGAGTAATGGTAGTAGTTCTTCTCTAAATGTCTTGTAAAATTCAGCAGTGAATCCATCAGGGCCTGGGCTTTTCTTTGTTGGTAAGTTTTTAATTACATTTTCAATTTCACTGATTGTGATTGGGGTGTTTAAAATGTTTTTATCTTCTTCGTTCAACTTTGGTAATTCATAAGTATCTAGAAATCTGTCCATTTCTTCTGTGTTTTCCATTTTATTAGAGTACAGGTTCTCAAAGTAGGTGTTCATGATCCTCTGGATTTCTTTCGGATCTGTTGTGACTTCGCCTTTTTCATTCCTAATTGCATGGATCTGAGCCTTTTCTTTCCTTTTTTTGATAAGATTAGCTAAGGGTTTGTCAATTTTATTTATTCTTTCAAAAAACCAGCTCTTTGTTTCATTTATTTTTTGTATCGTTTTCTTAATTTCAATTGCATTGATTTCTGCTCGGATCTTTATAATTTCCTCTCTTGTTCGAGCTTTGGGTTTTTCTTGCTCTTGTTTTTCTAGGAGTCTAAGTTTCATCGTTAAGTTGTTTATTTGAGCCCGCTCTGTTTTCCTAGTGTGGGCATTCAATGTTATGAATTTTCCACGTAGAACTGCTTTCATTGTGTCCCAAAGATTCCTGTATGTTGTATTGGCATTCTCATTTATTTGTAAAAACTGTCTAATTTCTTCTTTAATTTCCTCTGTAATCCATTGATTGTTTAGGAGAGTGTTGTTCAGTTTCCATGTGCTTGTGAAGTTTCTATAGTTTCTTGTGCTATTGATGTCTAGTTTGATTGCACTATGATCTGATAATAAACAGGGGATGACTTCAATTTTTTTGCATTTATTTAGACCTGTTTTGTGAGCCAGTATGTGGTCTATTTTGGAGAATGATCCATGTGCAGCCGAAAAGAATGTATATTCTGGTTTTTGGGGGTGGAATACTCTATAAACATCTATTAAGTCCATGTGTTCCAAAGCTTGGTTCAGTTCTATTATTTCATTGTTGATTTTCTGCCTAGTAGATCTGTCAATTTGTGATAGTGGGGTATTTAAATCCCCCACTACAATTGTATTAGTGCTTATTTGGTTTTTCATGTTACTTAATATTTGTTTTATATAGTTGGGGGCATTTATATTTGGTGCATATATGTTTATGATTGTCAGCTCTTCCTCTTGAATTGTTCCCTTTACAAGGATGTAGTGTCCTTCTTTGTCTCTCTTAATGAGTTTTGGTTTGAAATTTACTTTATCTGAGAATAAGATTGCTACCCCTGCTTTTTTCTGGACTCCTGACGCATGGAGAATTGTTTTCCATCCTTTCACTTTCAGTCTATGGACTTCCTTTTGCACTAGGTGTGTTTCTTGTATACAACATATTGTTGGATTTTGCTTCTTAATCCATTCTGCCAATCTGTTTCTCTTGATTGGTGAATTGAGGCCATTAACATTGATGGTTACAACTGATATATTTTGACTTATTCTTGTCATGTTTTTGTCCATTTGTTGACTCTTTTTACTTTTTCTCCCATCTCCTTTTAGTTTCTTGCCTTGCCTATTTGATTTGGTCTGTTGGGCCTCATGTTATTGTGAATTTCGTTGTCCTTTTCTAGGATATTGTTTAGAATTCCTTGCAGTGCTGGTTTGGTGTTCATGAAATTTCTCAGGTGCTCTTTGTCGTGGAAGTATTTTATTTCCCCATCTATTTTGAAAGAGAGTTTTGCAGGATACAAAAGTCTAGGTTGGAGATTCTTTTCTTTTAGGACTTGGAATACCTCACTCCAGGCTCTCCTTGACCTAAGGGTTTGTGTTGAAAAGTCTGCTGTGATTCTAATGGGCTTCCCTTTGCATGTGATTTGTTTCTTTTCTCTTACTGCTTGTAGTATTTTGTTTTTCTGTTGGATTTCTGGAATCTTGATTATTATATGTCTAGGTGTAGATTTTTTTTGATCGTGGCTAGTTGGGGTTCTATATGCCTCACTTATCTGTATGTCTAATTCTTCCCTTCTGTTTGGGAAGTTTTCTGTCATTAATTCTGTGAAGAGCTTTTTTATATCATTTGTGTTTTCTCCTGTTTTTTCATGAATTCCTATCAGTCTTATGTTATTTTTCTTTGTATCGTCTAGGAGTTGTTGGATTGATTTCTCATGATCCCTTACTGTTTTTAATAGACCTCTTTTTTCACGGTCACTGACTGCTATCCTATCTTCTATATCTGAAATTCTATCTTCGCAATCTTTTATTCTGTTTCGTACACTTTCAATAGAGTTTTTAATCTCCTGGATATCTGTTTGAATCTGTTTTATGGATTCCATTTCTTTCCTCTGTTGGGCATTCATTGTTTCCATGTCTTTCTTATGCTGAGTCTTCATGGCTTCTATCACAGTCTTGAGCTCATCTATTTTTTTCTCAGTTTCTGCTCTAGAGTCTCGAATCATGACTTCTATTTTGCTCATCATCTCTCTGGCTAGCTGGGAAATTATTTCTGATTTGAATTTTTCTAGAGCCTGATTGATCAATTTTGTTACCTCCTGTGCTATGGGTCCAGGGAGTCCTGTTGGTTCACTATCAGACTTTTCATCCTCATTTGTCCTACTATTTGCTATTGGTGAACTGGATATTTGTTTTTGTGTCTTGCTTAAGTGTTTTCTCATTTTTATTTTTATTGTTGGGTTGTCCTTCTTTAATTTCTGGGTATTACTTAAATCTTCCTAATATAGTTGCGTTTTAGCTTTTGAGTTTCTAATGACTCATAGACATTCTCGTTTTCATAATATCAGAGAAAACAACTCTTTAAATCAATCACCACTCTTTGTCCCAATTGATACATTCAGCAGCCCAATAGGATCAGGCACAGCTTGCCAACTGACCACTTATGGTAGTCATTAATGTATCACCTTTAACTCATGTGAATTAGATTAATTTCAAGAAGCAGCTCATAGTATGTTTGCAGTGAATATTCTTTTCAATATGGCATCTTTACCATTTAGGATGGGGGGTTCGACTTAGAACAAGAGGATTAGATAAGTGAAAGAATTAGAGCAGGTTTGAAGTGAATCCAGAGGTTGTAGAATTACCTTACTATCTTTACAAAGCTATTAACTTCAGGGGGGATAGAGAGAGTGCAGGAATAAGGACAGGAATATATCCCCTTAACAGTAACAGGCGCTTGCCTTCCCTTGAAGGTACAGAGCCATGAGTGAGGTAAAATGACTGGAAAAAAGAACATAAAGAGAAACACCTCCGAAAAAAAAAAAAATAATAAAAGAAGAAGTCTGAGTTATTCAGAAGTCTGAGTTATTCAGGAGCTGGTATATAAAGGGAGATGAGGGACACTATGGTGGAGCAAGAAACTGAGTTGTAGAGAGAGGATAGAAAAAAGAAAGAAATTTTAGGGTGGAATGAGGAAAAAAGAGAAAAGAGAGAGGGAAAGAAAAAGAATTTGAAGGTCCTCTTTCAGGCTATCTCTGATCTCATGTTATACCACATGCACAGTCATATGCGGAACCCAATCCCCTGGTCTTAGCTAGCCAATGGCTGTTCCTCACGACTGAGACTGAACACAATCTACAAGGCCTAACTTTAGTTTCCTTACCCTCAGGGTTGAACTCCACTCAGTTCTAGTACAGGTTTCCCTTGCCCTTTCTTTAAAGATGTTCAAAGTTGGGAGCTCAGAAAACTACCCTTCAGGGGAACGTATGCCTCTGCAGAGTTGGTCTAAGGACTGGCCCGATCAGGAGTTTTGAGAACGGGGGGGGTGTCGTGTGGGTGTTTCAAGGGTGCCCGCACGGCTACCTTCCTTCCTGGTCTGTTGTCGTCGCAGGCCGGGAGCTCGCGCACGCCGCCGGGTGGTCGCAGGCAGGCAGGCACACAGGCAGCTGAAGAAACCCCCTCCGGGGTCTTTGGGGCCTTCCTGGTCTGTTGTCGTGCAGGCTGGGAGCTCCTGCGCAGGCTGGGAGCTCGCGCACACGCCGCTGGGTGGTTGCAGGCAGGCAGGCACACAGGCAGCTGAAGAAACCCCCTCCGGGGTCTTTGGGGCCTTCCTGGTCTGTTGTCGCGCAGGCCGGGAGCTCCTGCGCACGCCGCCGGGTGGTCGCAGGCCCATACCTTGTTCTTGAAACCTTTCCTGTTAGTACTTTCTTTTTCCTGGGTTTCTGCCCACCTCTCTGACAACTTTTTGAGAGTCTTCTCTGTAGGGGGAGTAATGCTGTGGTTTGGGAACCTTTGCCCAAACTCCTCATCTTATCCACATGCACCTTCTCCTGGGGAAAAGCCATACCCATCCCCACAGCCTTTATCTCTACCCAGCAGACCCTAGGCTGTGCACATCTTAAATTTGCTTGCTTACCAGATGTAAAAGATGAACAGGAACACAGGTGCTCCTCCCACCAGGAACAGCAGCCGCCAGTGGGGAAGACTGTAGCTGAGTCCCGTCAGGAAGAGGACACCCACAGAGATAAAGCAGTGCTCCAGGAAGATGGCATGGGCTCGGTGGTTGTCCACTAGACATTCATTGGCTATGCAGAGGTGCAGAAGACAAAACCATGGTCAGCTCAGGGTCCAGGCTGCCCCTGCAGCCAGCCTTCTGAGATGCTCCTGCCCTGTACTGGAGAGTTCTGGCTGGGCAAAGACTATATTTTTTTATTCGTGATCAGAACTAGGCCTGAAACACCCTCTCAAAACTATACAGAGTGCCTTTATGCCCCACATTGTGTGAATGCTAGGTTTTACTGGACCTTCCTGTCACATAAATGGCCTCCCAACCTTCCTTGCTTGGCTGATCCCTTTATACCTCCTGCCTGATCATTATATCTGATAAAGTGGATTTCTAGGCCTCATGCCACACATGTGGCTGGATGCATGAGAAGGCAATGAATCACTGTCCCTGTCTTTAGGTACATTCATGCTTGTGCCATGGAGGCCTAAGGGTCTGTGGATGGTCGTTTCATTCTGGCTGGGCCCTGGCAGGTTCCCAGTGAGAGAAGTTTCCCTGCTCAGAAATTCTCAGCACAGCAAGGATTACAGGTATGATTCTAGTCACTGCACCTTCTGAGGCCAGTGGATGAGTGTGTGCACACTGGGGCTCTGACATCACATAAGCCTGGGTTAAAACTCACATTAGCCTGAGTTGAAACCTCAGGTCTTTAATTCTCTGATTCTAAGTAACTTCTCTGGGGTACAAGTATCCTTCTCAACTAAAGGAATAATAGAACGGGGTATACTGAATAGAGGGTTGTCCAGATGAAATGATCCAATGTATATGCAGGCTTAGCAGCATATGTGCTGGGCTCAGTGAATGTGAGCCATGTGGGGGTCCACAAGGGATACTCAGGGAGAAAATGAGGGAGTATGAGGGGAATAGAGTGGAGGGTAAGAGAAATAGGCATCTGATGTTGACACTTAGGCATCTCCAGGCCAGCAGGAATAGAGACTCTCCTTTTCTACCTTCCCTACTTGGGTACAGACTGTGTTCTATACCTTCTAATAGGTTCCTCCTAGGCCATCTTGTCTTGCCTGGGAGGAACCCTCTTTCCCTTCTCCAAAGCACTCTAGTCCCCCCACTTCCATCTTTTGCCCTGCAGCTCTGCTCCCATCCAGCCCTCTCCCTTGAGGCCCAGGGTCACCTAAACACACACTGCTGATTGTGTAACCCATCACTGCTTGGGAGGCAAGGAAGCGGAAGAAAAAATACTGATGAAGGCTCCTCACAAAGGCTGTCCCGAAGTTGAAGATGGTCAGCCCCAGCAGTGACATCAGGATGGCAGGGTAATGGCCCAGCCTAGGGTGTCAAGGTGAGGCTACATCAAGTGCTGAACTTTCCTGGGACAGGCCTCAGCTGTCCCGGGGACCCAGATAGCTCCTCCCTTAGCCTCCCCCATCTTGAAGTTCATCAAATCTGAATGCTCTTCGGGAGGAGGCAGAATGTCCCTAGTTGGAAGTCCAGGAGACTCACATGTGATTTATGAACCCGAAGATGAGAGATCCTGTCAGGAAGCCAGCCATGGATATGGACTTCAAGCTTTCCTCATCTGGCTCTTTGCCACATACCAGGTCAAACTGGGGGGTTAGACACAGGGATTCACCACAGGTCTCCAGCCAGGATCAGCCTTTTGGGGTACAGAGATAGAGGCTGGCCTAGGTGGGACCTTGAGACAGAGGGCATGTGGGGAATGGGCAAGTACCTCAGCACTGTCACCTCTGCACCTGCCCTGCGCACAGGTGACAGCCCAGTCTTGAGAGAAGGACCAGAGGAATAGGCCAGGAAGGGGGAATGTAGGTGAGGTACCTGAACGCAGATATAAATCTCTGAGGGCCCAAGAGCTGGGCTCTGACCTAGAGCTTTAGATGGGCAGATGTGTGCCAAAAAGCGCTCAGGTTGCAGGTTGTAAAGTCCCGTGAGAGACACCTGAGAAGCTGACACCTTCTAGTCCTGATTTATGTGAGTTCAGAGGGCAGAGTCACAACCTCACAAGCAATTCCCTGGAGAGATGGCCAACCCTGTCCCCCGTCCCCCATTTTCTTCCCCCAAATGCATTTTAACTTTCTGGCTAAGACAGGCAGGGGCAGGGTGGGGCAACAGGAGTCCCGATTTTCTGTCAAGGCCCACTTCTGCAAGGTGGCTTCAGGCCAATTTCTATCCCCCTCTAGCATGTCTCTAGGCCTACTGGGGTAGCTGCAGCTTCATCCAGGATGAGTCATACCTCACTGATCAATGATCGAGTTTTGGCTTTAGGATAGATCCACCCATGTTGGCATGTAGCAGTGTGGTTGAGGCCAAACTGGATGATAGAACCCAAGTCCCAAGGCACAGGCAAGTACATGAGACACATCTGGAAACCACCACTGGGTGCTCGTGGAAGGGTCAGATTCAGCTGCTCAGACTCTGAGAGGTTGGGGCCCACTGCCAGAATCCAGCTGGTGTTGCAATAGTGCTCCTGGTCTGTGAACACGAGGTGCTCAGCGTGCACGAATGCCAACAAGATGCCGGGGATGAAGGTGAGGGCTACCAGCCTCCGCTGGAATTTGCCAAATTCTCCCACTGCGTGCAGGATATTGGCAAACTTAACATCCTTGCTTTTGATGTCCTTCAACGTCATGCGTAGGGCCCAAGGATGAAAAGGCACTGATGCTGTCTGTTGCTTCAGGCTCTCAAAACCGCGGGATCTGAACTCTTCCTTGGAGTTCTTTTCTCCTCCTGCTGGCTGAAAGGATGTAACTCAGTGTCCTAACACTACTTCCAAGCCATCAGATATCAGCATGGGCACCACTGGCCAGAAAGTGGCTTCTGGCTCGGAACAACGTGGATTTCCTGGTTCCAAACTTTCTGTCTAAAGTTCCTTAGTTCACATAATTTGCTCCCCACCCCTGGCTTAATCATCCTTAATTTTTAGTGCAATAGGAATTGTTAAAATCTTCGAAAATGTCCTCCTGTTGTCCGGAATGATGAAGTTCTGAGAAACTCTCTTTGCAGCTTCTCCCACAACTGAAATAGTTTGCACACTCACTGAGCTGCCAGTGGAGCTGCAAAAGGTAGAAGAGATCTCTAGGGACCTTCCTTTCCTTCCCTTCCATTTCCCTTCACTTCTCCTTCCTCCCCCCGCTTTCTTTTTTTTTCTTTCTTCCTTCCTTTCTTCCTTCCTTCCTTCCTCTTTCTTTCTTTCTTTCTTTCTTTCTTTCTTTCTTTCTTTCTTTCTTTCTCTCTTTCTCTCTCTCTTTCTCTCTCTCTCTCTCTCTCTCTTTCTCTCTCTCTTTCTCTTTCTTTCTTTCTTTCTTTCTTTCTTTCTTTCTTTCTTTCTTTCTTTCTTTCTTTCTTTCTTTCTTTCTTTCTTTCTTTCTTTCTTTCTTTCTTTCTTTCTTTCTCTCTTTCTCTCTCTCTCTCTCTCTTTCTCTCTCTTTCTTTCTTTCTTTCTTTCTTTCTTTCTTTCTTTCTTTCTTTTATAAAGAAACAATCTGCATCAGGAGGGGCCAAGAGCTGGAGCCAAGCAGCTGGAAGCCCTGGTTATACAGCTGGACACACAAGGCTGGAATGCGGGGCTCCAAAACCACAGATGACAGACAGTGGCTTAGAGCCAAAGTGGAGAGGCAGCAAAGGAGGAGGGAGTTAAGCAATAGTGATAAAGATAGTACTTTTGGAAGTGGGAAGAGAAGAAATTGAACTTAACACTCTGATTTGAGCCCAACCCCTCAGTATGCTTAGAAAAAAAAAAAAAAAGTCCTGGACCATGGCATCTCTTGGCTACCAGCAGTAGAAGCAAGTTCTCTTTGAGGAAAATTTCTCCCACTTGAGCCTTTGGGACAATCAAAGATAGAGACCAGGCAAAGAAATTGTGGTCTCAGAAGCCAAGCCACTCTGAGAGTCAACAGAACTCTGAGGCCACAGATGTTGGAAATGTCAGATGTAGAAAGAAGGCAGCAAGGGTAAGAACTTTAAAAAGTTGTCATTACAAAATTGAAAATATAACACAAATCAGGAGAAAAAAAAAGAAGACAACTTGTAAACATGAAAGTGGGTAACAAGCTGTTATTAAAAGAAAAATCCTAAAAGGAACGCTGAATAGATCCAACACAGAGTTAGTGAACAGGAATATATAGCTGCAAGGTGAAAGAGAGGTAAAGATACTTGGTGGATAGAAGGCTTAGCATGGGTCTGATTGGAAGCCCACAAGGAGAAATGGAAAAGCAATATTTAAAAAGAAAAATAAATTTTCTAAAACTTGAAAAGCATGAACCATCAAGATTCAGGAAAAAAAAAACTTATTTCAAACAGTATGAATAAAACGGAAAACCATGTGGACCAGTGACAGAGATCTTGAGGCACCACTGGAGAGGACCCAGATCACTGCCCAAAGGCAACACCAAGGGGTCTAAGCAAATAGTGTGTGAAGAACGTCTTCAGTTTGTTGGTAGTAAATTTCAGTATGGCCTGTCTAGAGATGTGTACTTAGCAAAATTTCACCAACATAGATACAAACAAAGGACGGTTATTGATAACTAGAAACTGATAGAGCACACAAGCAAGAGTCTGATTGAATGGGACTTATAAAAGATAAGGAACACGGTCTCAGAAGGACACCCTGAGATGCAGTAATGATCAGCTAAAAAGGTAAATATGTAAACAAATTGAAATTCTGATTGATTGTATTGAATAAGCAGAATACTCTCAAAACGTGGAGTTAAAAAGAAAAGAGAAGGTCTGGGAGCTTAGCTCAGCTGCACAGCGCCTGCCTTGCAAGCGTAAAGTCCTGAGTTCGATCCCCAGAATAAAAAAAACAGACTGCCTTGTAACCTTCCAGTTTTCCAGGGGTTTGCCTTGTTCAGGAGGGGAATCAACACTTGGAAAATCACATTTGCATGACAATCTCAAGAATAACCACTGCCTTAGGGCCAACCAATCAGGCAGCTTGCTTTGCTCTGCCCCTCTCCCGGGGCACCTCCTGTCCGGTTTTCCCCTAGGCAGCGGTGACAACTGGCGAGGGGCAGGTGGCGTGCAGGCTTGGAAATCTAAGACAGAGGTTACTGGCGGGGTCTCCGCCAGCGCTGTCGGTCCAGGCTGAGTCTTCTGCCTAGCGCTCGCCGGCTCAGGCGAGGCAGCGAGGTCTACCCGAGAGCGCGGGCGTGTGTGTGTGTGTGTGTGTGTGTGTGTGT